CCYTCGCCTCCAGCTGAGCCTTTTCATTGTGCTGTTGTTTCTATGGAGCTTGGATGGCAGTTTAGATTAGATCACTCTGAGTAATGGATTGGAGCTGACGAAAACCTGCTGCAGCTCAACATCACCACTGCTAGGATCCCGGCACTACGGAGGATCTGGCTGGTTTATTCGGATCAATTTGAGGCGCCCTCATTGTTAATAACCCTGTGTATATTCATGCTAACATTGTTCTCCTCTAATCTGTATTCATGCGAGTATTTCATTCAATCCCCCTGCAAAGCCAGGCCTAAATCCTTGCCAATCACATTTTGCTACTTCATAATTCTCCATTTGAAATTGTTCATTCAGTCTTCTCTGGTAATATAAGTGAACCAGTCAGTAGGTCTTATTGTCGTTACATTTGTTGTCTGTTAAAGGCTGAACAACAACAAAAAAAGGCATCTTGTGCAATATTTGTATCTAAACYTTTGTGTAACAAAATGCACCGTCTGTACAGGCATTCAAGCGATGAATGATATTTTAAATGTTTATCCTCGGACTGATTTTGATTAAAAAGTTAAGCATAGATTTAGGTACATGTGGGAAACATACCTTTTATAAGGTTGTTGGGTGGGGGGGGGTGGTGTTTAGTAACATAAACCTGCTGGGTGGCCATTGTGGGGGGATGATGTGTTAATCGAGCCACAAACTGTGTGGTTTTTTTCAGGCCAGAGGTCTCATTTTAAAAGGCCCGCAAAAGAGAAATGTATTTGAGCGGGGCCCCGCTGGCTGCTAGCCCTTGACTCCATTGCAGTAATGTAAATGGTGGATTAGGTGCCGTTAGCCGGGACCCCCTCAACCCCTTTTCAGTCGCCGCCCCCCTCCTTCGCTTTTCCATTAAGACAGCTGGTATCTTTCAAAGGGTCCTGGCCCAGTGATTGATGTGTAATAGCTCCTAGCCTCACCTGCCCCCTCACAGCATTATTCATCAGCAAAGCTGCAACCAGCACTGCTTTCCACTAAGAGCTTTGTTTTTTGAGTGGAGGGCTAGCTTTCTCACTTTCTGTTTTAGTCTCTGCCCTTCTAGTTATTAGTACAATATGACTTTAAATACCACATAATTAGTTTAAAGTGTCTTTCTTTTAAAAKACACTTTGACTCACTTTGGGGTTATTAAAGCAATGTTTGCAATGTTTCAGCAGAGTAATTTGGACATGAAGAATTTGGARACGAAGCAGTTGTTCGAATTGTATCCAGATGCAAACTAATGGTACCTTGAGCRTAGATCCTTACATGGGCTTACATCTGCTTCTAACATCAAAAGAGAATGGGTCAACCTTCCATTTGCAACAGTTTAAAGTCCTCGTTGGCTTCACTGGAAGAAGCTTATGTTACTGATTAGAGGAGAGAAGAGGTGCTTAGCATATACACTGTTTCTGGCATCCCCCAGGATTAGAGACGTGCTATCAGATGGTACTGTTGTCAATGTTTGCATGTTTGTCACACCTCCATGGCATGCTGCTGGAAATAGAAAGAGCCAAAGATTTGAGATGAACACCTGGCAAGTGTAAAATGCCAGTAGATGATAGGTTTTTGTACTTTGCGGGTCAATCTGAAGGCACTGTTTGCTGCACTGGTTAGTGAAAATTAAAAGGTTAAAAGTCAGTAAAAGTTTCAGCTGCATTTTTTTCTTTTGCTGTTTATGTAAAATCACTTCATATGCTCACCATTATACTTGTTTTTCTCCCCTCTTCAATTTTTTTGACATTCCTCTAAAATTTATCCCTGCTCTTAGATTACATCATCCCCTCTGCAGAAACTTTACGTAATTGCTTTACAGAGTGAAAAGTAAGAAAGCTAATTCCAATGATTAGTGTGTCATATCTGTACAAAATCTTAAAATTGGCTTTTATGGTAGTTTGTTTATTATTAAACACGTTCAGTAGAATTTTAGGATTAGTATTTCTTAAGCTGTATTTAAGCTTTAAAGGGGACATATGCAAAATTCACTTTTTAAGCCCTTAAATGCAATTTGTTATGTACTTAAAAGTCTCTAGGAGTGCAGAAAATTTGAATTCAGTCTCTTCTAATGCTACATAGATATCTTTATATTTTGTTTGGGTCACATTTTCAACCCTATTTTCTATGATTTCTGAAYTATTACATCAAATTATTTGTGACAAAATGGACATAAGGTCTGGACTTACCAACTACAGTTTGATCATCTATACTCTCCTCTGGCTCTGGGTCAGACTCTGGCTCCAACATGTAATCTACGTTCACACCGAACACGTTTGAGCTGCAGGAGCGGCCGGTTTACATGCAAAGTCTATGGTGGACGCGCCTCTAGGGGTCTTGCGGCGCGTCACATCCGTTTAGTGCTGCGTGCAAGGAAGCGGAAGGTGCGGCAGAGCATTTTCTGTGCATGTGGTGCGGCGAAAGCAGCTGACGCCCGAGCTCAAAAATCTGAACCTTTTGCTGCTCGACGCGCTGCTTAAACCAATCAGAGAGACTCATTTTTCCACGTGACAGTTTGCTGAATGTTGCCCACTAACCAGAAACAGACGGACAGGAGCTCTTTAGCTGAAATCGACCGTCTACAGTTGATGTTCTGGCTGGAGATATCAGCACCGATGTGGGTCAGCAGCTCGTTAAACTGGGCTCGGTCGGGACAAAAAATAGTCTATCAGCTCGCAGCTCCTGAAGTGGTGAAACTAACTGAACCAACCACCTCTAAATCATCTGGTGAATTAATTATCTGCTGTGTGCAACGTTCACTTGCTCTTTAGTAAATAAAGCAAAGCCATATTTTTTTTATTTTACCTTCATTTCATCCGCCGAAGACAGACAGGAAAAAACCAAGATGCTCCTCCCTCTTCAGTCGTGCATCGTCTCTAGTCCCGGTCTGAATGTAGCACGTCCAACTGGAGGCGTTGGGCGCTTTTTTGCTGCTCAAAATGCGTTTGGTGTGAACGTAGCATAAGGCTGGATGGACAAGTCTTCTGTTGTTGACRTCTTTTAATTAATTTGTAAATAAAATGTTTCTGCACAGCTACATAGTCATAAAACCCTCTATCAAACTAGAATGGACCGGGTGTGAAGTGTCTCGTTTGGATTTAAAGAGACAGCATCAAAATGAGTTGATCTGAGACACTACAGAACAGAGGTGAAAGAGGGGGCTTGTGGAGTTACAATAAGGAGGTGTTCAAGTTCCACTTTATATAGACCCCAACTGAATGATTTAAATGTGGAAAAGGTTTTAAAAGCACAACATGTCTCCCTTTAATCACAAACTGTGTGAAACCTTGTCTGCAAATGTAGATTTAGCTGTACATCAAATAAAWCTGTAGGTGGTATTTTGAACTTTAAAAACTCTTTTTGGTGAGTGTTTTTCTACCAGAACCATTAGCCGTTGGTTCAGAAAGCTAATTCTGGACACGGGCCACGCTTTGTCTCTTTGCACTATCTTAGGTATGTATCGATGGCATGTGTGAATCCTTGCGAAAACATGCCCGTTGGAAAGCTCCAGAGCCCTTTCATCTTCAGTGTTTGCTAATGTGTTCGTGTGTGTGTGTGTGTGTGTGTGTGTGCTGGCAGCCCGATGGTCGCCGTGGTAACTCATCATTAGGTGATTAATGGGGCTGTGACGAGGCTGCGGTTTAATAAGGCCCAGCGTTTGTGTTGAAACCGACGACAAGAGCAGCTGCCCTGTCAGTTGGTGTCTGCTCAYGAGACGACAGCACCCGCTGCTGTGGAGGGCCGTTGTCAAATAAGCTTCATAGCACCCGTGTGTGTCAGTGTGTTAGTTTGAGGCGACGACTCGCCTCCCCGCCTTCCTCTATTCTTCGCCTCACCTTCTTTGTGGCTCTGCCAATAAAAGGCTTGTTCAGCTGCAGATGTGGCGTTCAATTTTTACTCTGCACCGATTTAGCTTTACCCGGCTCGATCCGTGATTCCTCCCTCATTTTTCACCCTCATGCTTCCACCCTGCCATCAGGACCACGGTAACACCGGCACTGATCGCCTGGCAAGAACCCTCCGGGTGCTGTAATAAGTATTTCTAGTTAAATGGTTGCTGTGGGGGGTGGGGGTTAACACTGGCAGTAAATGAGAAGGCTCCTTTTTGTAGGTGCAGACAGTGTGCCGCTTCAGCTTCAACAACTTCTCTGTTTATGGAGGGTTTCGTGAGAAAGTGGTAGCTGGGTGAAGATAGCTGTAAGTGGCAGTGAACTAAGCATGGCAAATGACTGACTCTGCCCTCTTTCCTCTCCCCTCCCTCACCCAGCGGATTGCTATATTCTTCCCTCCAGAGCTGTCACTTCACATTATCACAGTAGTGACTGTCAGCCAGGGTAGTGGGTTGGGGTTGGGGTGCGTTGCAGCAGCCAGGAGTGCACACACACACACACACACACACACACTCTCAGGGATGAGCAGAATCCAGCCTGGTGTCATCACAAATGGTCTTAGCCAAGCTATTCTAGTAACTCTGTCATTGAGCTTTGTGCTACATATTTTATGTGCTCTAGCAAACAAGAGAACTATTTTATGTGCCTCAAAAAAACAAAAAAAAAAAACAAAAACAAACCTTAATTCATCCCTGAGGAATCTTGCAAAACCATAAGTTTCTCTTTCATATTCAGTTTGAACTTCCTTTTAGCTTATTGCCTTACTTGCAGCACTTGCCCTCTTTATTTAATTTATTATTTTCTTTTCTTTAAAAAAAATCTACTATCTGTTTCTGAAAGAAAGGAAGTATGTTCAAGCAGGAAGCTAGAAAGTTTGTCTTTGATATCACTATTCCTCTAGAGCGTTAATGGTTCGGAGGGAAATACCAGCAATTACTGTGATCTCAGGGAGCAGTCTGCACAGTTACCTCATCTTCAAGCTTGCATTTCTCTCTCACAAAAAAAATCCCCTTTTCACCGAAACCAGCCCCTTTACATTAAAAAGGTAGAAATTATTGTAAAATCAAAGGTCACAGACTCAAACTAATTGTCCTTTTTTTGTTCTGCTTGCAGTTTTCCTGAAACTCTAGGGTTGTTGGTGTGGCCGAATTTTCCCTGGATTTGACTGGTAAATTCAGAATTCTGAAGCCCAGGCTCACAGTCTACCTTTCACGGAGGCCCAGCCGTGAGAGGACTGAGGAAGGCACGTGGCGGATCATGACGGCCGACAAAGAGAAGGAAAGAGAGAAAGAGCGGGACAGAGACAGAGACAGGGACAGGGACAAGCGGGAAGCCGGCAAGTCCCGCCGGCAGGACGTGGACCGGGGCGACCGCGAAAGCGAGAGCTCCAGGCCTCGCCGCAGCTGCACGCTGGAGGGCGGGGCCAAGAACTATGCAGAGAGCGAACACAGCGAGGACGAGGACAACGACAACGGCAGCACTGGTGGAGGCAGCGGCACGGCCGAGGAGGCTGGCAAGAAGGGCAAAAAGAAGATGCCCAAAAAGAAGTCGCGCTACGAACGCACAGAGAACGGAGAAATCACATCCTTCATTACAGAAGACGATGTCGTTTACAGACCTGGAGGTGAGTCTGTTTGGCAACAAACTACAGTGAACACTATTTACTGCTTACTAGTTCAAACTTTCCAACCCCACAAATGCCCAAATATACTTGAGAAAACAAGAAAAGATGATCAATAATTGATTGTTTTAAGGAGCCAGTCATCTCTTTTGTGTAGGGCTGCAGAAGYGTTGCATATTCTTCAAAGCATCAACTCTCTAGCAGCAGAAACCCTCCCTCAGGCTAAAAGCACTGCATCATGCAATCAATGCTATGACCCACTCTGAGCTTTGTCTTGAGCTGAGTCAATAAAGCAAAGTGGTGCTTCACTAGATGATGCGATTGTGACGACTGCCACGATAATGATTTCATCCTAACACCATTTGACTCGCTGAAAGTACACTATTGTCCGTGGCACCAAAAGATACTATGTTTTCCTGGAAATATTTTTAAACTATGATACYGTGTGTTGACTGAGTTAGGCGACTGATAAAAACAAAACTAATCTTATCGACGGCGCTGCGCTTTTATACATTGTTTGTGAAATGTTTGTATTACTGGCGACAAAGTCAACACTCGCTGAAMGGGAGAAGCCAAGCTAAAACTAAATTATTCAGTTTCAGCTTGCTGTGTCTTTTCATTTATCTTTTTTTTACACTTATCTGGTACATTTTTCCACTGAGGGATAAATAAACAATGATTGCATTCTGTTCAGTTGTTTTACAGTATGTAGAAGCTAGTGAAAGGTCAAGTAGTGGAGTCTAAAGTATATATCAGGTCTACACAGTTGTACTGAAATAAGGTACCACTTTATTAAACACACAAAAAAGAGATCTATTGGGTCTTTTTATTTATTCTGTTTGTGGTGCTTGTTCGTTTCTATTTAATGATGGAGATGTTAAACATTCTTAAAACTAATTTTGAAGCATTGCTTATATTAGAGCACATCACACACTAAAGGTGTTAACTTTTTATACCTGCCTGTTTGTGCTGAAGTTGGTATCAGAGTTTTGACCTGGTACTGGTTATAATTGCTAACCTTTTCCAGCAAATAAAATATAAATATATTTGTTTAGTGACAGGTGTTATAATAAACTAAAAGGAATTTCTCTCCCTATAAAAGTAAATGTGCTTCAAAAGGCATATAAACACAGTCAACAGTCTCAGCACGTTAGCCCTGCCCAGTATTTATATTTCCACATTCAACTGAGCAGCACAGCCAGTGTCAGGTTGATGAGGAATATTTATGTTTCTTGTCCCCTCCTTCAATTAGTTTGACAGGTTTAGCGTGACTTGAATGCCACGATCCACCCCTGCTATGAGGACTAGGGTTGTTAGATCAGTTTAGATTAAGAATAAGCCTTGACTGGTAGTGACAGCCTCAGCACCCGTACACTCATTTGTAATTTACCTCCTGATGTCATCATGGAAGATTCTCCACCTCACCAGCAGACTTCCTGCTGTCTCCTCTCCTTATTGTTCCATTGATAAGCTGTGTGTGTGTGTGTGTGGGTGGGGGGGGTTGTTTCTCTACTCCTGCCTGGTCACTGGTAGCAGCCTTTGTGCAATCAGATTTGATGTGTGCAGCTTAGGCAGACACAAAGCCTGCAATGGATTATGCTTTACTAAATGTTAAATCCTTTTATAGCCATCTAGTGACATACAATATGTAAAACTGACCACCCCCAGAGGGGGATTTGCACCTCCCTACATTTAGGGAGGAGAGGGCCGTGCAGAAACTGAAGCACAATTTGTACCAGTTGCTATGTTGATTACTTCTGTCACAAAGAGCTGTAGACGTGCAGAGCCGTGTCATCACATAAGAATAGGTAAGCTAGTATTGAATCCCCAGTCCCCACCCCACCCCCAGTCTTTCTGCTCAGCCTTTTTATCCCTTGAAAATGGTTTCAGGCAGCTTAGTGCGCATCGATTGGATGAGAACGAGTGGAAAAGGGGAAGTGCAAGTGACCAGTAGGTAGGGCTGCAGCTAACTCGAGCTTTGCCRTTGCTTCGAAAGGTTGGAGGAGTGAGTCTGTGGTGGTGGCCAGAGGTCTGTGTCCCAGACCATTCGTATGGTCTGCCTCTGTGGTGAACAGCCCGGCGCAGGGAGAGCAGACTTACCAGATCGATCTGTGCCCTGTGGCTGAGCTTTCACTACTTCTCCAGGCCTGGTTAGACAACTCTGACCCTGTTCTCCACGCTCATCTACCCCCACCACCCCAGATTATAGATCCTCTCTTTAGAGATTATACACATGGCCAAGGGGGATCAATAGGAGACACTGTAKAAGCTAAGAGACACACACAAAAGAAAATATAAGTCTGTATACCCATGCATAATCTGCTGATAACTAAAATTGTATACATGAACATCTACACTGTTGTACAAATACATGCTTTTGTTGCACACTCATGCACTTCTAATGGTTCCAGTCTTTGGTAGTCACACTGCAAYAGACTCAGCAGCACAGTTTAATAAACACAGGAGTATTCCCAATACTAACCCTCCCCACTGCAGCAGGACTCTGCTTGTTGTTAGTGGATGGCTACCAACTCAACTCTTCTTCTCTCACTGTCAGTCTGACTGACTGTTGCAACTTTAAAATGGAGTCCTTTCAGAAAGAGACACTTCTATTCTTTCACCTTAGTTTATGTCACGAAGCATAATTTCCTCATCGGTTTACTGACTTTACTGGCAGCGCTTCAGTCATTTTAGATTTTAGAAAGTGATTGTGTAATCCAAAAGAACATTACAGACTTAAGTGAGAGAGAGAAAAAAGACATTCTGTGTATCAGTGTTGTGGGAATTCTTCATGTGGACAGCTGGTGCTTCTTGCTCCAGCCATCACAGACTGCTGGAGGGACAGTGTTTGTGTGTTTGACAAGTGCATATAAAACAAGCTGTGCAGCAGGAACAAATTTTACACACAAACACACTCATACACTGAGCTCAATATCAATCCCCCTCCTGTCTTCTAACTAAAAACTTTTAAGTGGAGAGTTCAATTCTATATCACAATCATGTAACTGTTGCCTTCAGTTGTTATGAAAAAGCTGTATATATATACATATATTTATCCAAAATATATATCCAATAATAAATTTGATGTTGCATCATAGCTTATCTAAATAGTCCTCTGTCTCTTTAAGAGCCTATTGTTTCTGACACTCCCACTTCAGCGCGTCATGACAACCATGCTTTATACTATTTACAACCTTTCTTAGGAAACTTCATCATGTTTTGCAATATCATGAGCACATTTTGGTAGTCTGGAGCTGTGTGGGGGAGGGGTGCTCTCTGAGGCAGGAGCTCAGCTGCAGACAGCTCCAGAGCGGAGCTTTGTGTAAAGAGGCGGTGCTTTGTACCAGCAAATGTTTAGACCGCTTGGAATGGTTACCAGAGCAGATTCAAAGATCTCTCCAACATTCATGAATGAGTCAAAGCWACAGTCTGGGTATGTTTTAGATGAGGAAATGACATTATAATATGATAAAGCTAGAGAAAACTCAATTTTGTTTAATTAACACMCCCCCAAATCAAGTTAATATTTCTTGCTTTTTATAATCACAAGAGCTTTATTTTTCTCTCCACATAATCTAAACTCACTATGTTATATGACRTATGTATTTCAGTTCAATTTGACAGATCTTATTTCACTAAAGTTCTTTAATAAGAACAAGTGCAGGAGGCCTGCTGACTTCCTGACGGCTACTTTTTTGCTGTACACAAGTCAGTATTGATAGCTCTTTATATATATA